TAATATAATATATACATATATATAATATATATATATAATAATATAATATATATATATAATANCACACATACACACATATATATACATATATACATATATATTTGTATATATATATACACGATATTCATATTTGTCTATTGACACAGAAATATAAAGCCAAATTCAATCCATCTCATCATAGCCTCCTAAATTGAACATCTCATTCTAAATATTCAACTCATAAGTGCACATAGTTTCCAAACTTCACTGGTGTATACAACTCATTCATACCGTATCATTTCACCGTCACAGAACTAAACACATACCTTTTCGGCCAGAGTTACATCGTAGAAGGTACATCTACCAGAATCAACGCCTCCAACTGCACTCAACGCGGCGGGGACAGGCTCCAAGTCATCCTTGCTAAAGGCTGAAGGAACAGCGCTGCTAAATAATTCCAAGCTATCATCCATTACTGTCTACACTAAGGTCAATGATAGCTCTCATCTAAATTTGGGATGTATATACATATATATACTTCATGTGATAAAAGTTGTCAACTCACCATGACTCATTGCTGTGTGTGACGTAGTCAGTATGTGACGTCAAGCTCGTATCTAGATTTGGGATACGGATAAGGAGCCATGAGCTTTGGTAAATAAATATTTGAAACAAGAGGATACGTACGTGTTTGCCTATGTATCGCTTCGTATTCGTCAGTTCTGCACCAAACTGTCGTAGTTGTACACGATCCAGTATGAGCACTACAATCGCAACGAAGTCTATAACACATGCCGTTAGATATACGTGCAGATATCCCACATTCAGCACAAACAGCACAATTATAAGACGTGCTTATAGCAGTGGATTCGATCAAAAGGTAGCGGAGGGACCGCTGTCAGGCATACGAGTGTTAGACCTGTCAAGAGTCTTGGCTGGACCTTATGCTACTATGATGATGGCAGATTTGGGGTATGCTTGGTAACCAGTTTTTCTTGCATTGCATGTATATCCAAATTGTAGAATACGAACGAAATGCAGGCATAGAACGCTTCTAGCTGGTACCTGAACTCTCATCGAGTTACTGACCAGTACAGTAAGGGGTTCGGACTCAAAACTAGTGCTACTATGCTAATATTAAATCGGCGCGAGCTTTGCAATACCTTTGGAAGTGCATTGTATACAATTGCTACGTTTTAGAATTGGCTCGCCAAAGATGCGCTTTTCGATACTGCAGCGATTAGGTCTGTGATCAACTGAATACCTTGAATGGTAGAAATTGATTCGTGTGATGGCTCAGTGCCTTCATGGGTTTTGGTATTGTATCGTTCCGGCATTTGCACCTGATCAATGAGGTAGCGCGTTTTAGACACTTTTCCAGTTTTCTGTATGTGATTGTGTGAAGCCTAATGAGTGCTTATCGCGGATATGTATTGAGGTGCTGGACGATGTACAGAACTGGTACGTTATTTGTTGAGTTAGTGGGAGAAGTATTATAAATTGAGAAAGGGATACGACGCGCTACAAGTGGGATGAATCCTCTCCGCCAAGAATGATAGGTTATTCTCATTCTGACATGATCTGTCATATAGGGCCGATGTCATCAAAGTGGAGCGTATCGATGGGGGAGACGACACTAGACAATGGTAAGTCGCACACTCACAAAGAAACCGATGAAATAAGTGGATCGCCATTGAAAAAATGTACCATTAGTAGCAAGGAATTACTGGCGATAGCCTGGGCTAAAGACGTGTCATTTTCCTCGTGTCCACGTGTATATGTGCATGCTCGTTTGGGTAAAGCTCAAGATCTTCTTAGGTATACCAAATTTATCCGTTCATTCAATTTATGCGAGTCCTTAGTTCTTCGTATATGGAAATCGCTGTGTACAGATTCGTTTTTTCAGCACAGGTAGTTTCTCACAGTTGAAAGTTGAGAGTTGAAAGTGCTTGTAACCCTGTTGCTCTAAAACATGTTGTTCTAAACCTGAATGCATTCCGAGGTGCATTTGTATAAAAACTACCTTCGATATGGTGTCTGTTTATGGTATGACTAATACTGTGGGAAACATTCAGTATACTAGAACTTCGGATAATAAATATTTCCCAGTCTGCAATCAGTTTAAAGTTATATATAGCTGCGGCATGGGATTGCTTGGAGTACAATGAGCCACTATGCATCGATATCTGACACTACAATGTAACTATACACAGAACTTTGTACATCCGCTTTAAGCAAACTGTCTCTACAATGAACGACAATCAGCAATGCTTGCTGCCACCAATGCCATTTCTCTGATGAAGATTCGTCATACATCAGCTGATAGATTGATACCGGTTGACTGCGCAGGAAACCGCCTCAGATCAATGGAGTTTCTTCGTACTTTTTATCGGTGAATCGGAATAAACGAAGTTTAGCTGTGGATTTTCGGCATCCAGAAGGTTAGTCTTTTCGGATTCAAAACTCTTCGAGGCCTCTCCTTTCTAAGTGCTAAAGTTATCTACTTGTTCTAATCAACCATGATGTCGAGTTGGCCGACTCTGACATTTGATACGCGGCACCCTGCACCCAAATGACGAGAGTCGTTCATTTCGTCCCCAGTGGAATAGCTCTAACACACATTGAGAGCGATGTACCATGTACACACACACACTCTCTCTCTCTCTCTCTCACACAAACATAACCACACATACACACACACACACACACAAACACACACAAACACACACACACACACACACACACACTAC